GATGGGGCCGAGAATTGGCGGCTTGAAAACAGGATGGTCAAAGTGAAGTTGAAGCGGGACGATGAAGATGCAAATGCGCAAGATGAGAATAAAATGGGAGTAGTAGTATGCTTAACCTATCCAATCTGCTGCTGGCCTGTAGCCTTAACGATCACAAGCCTGCCTATAATTCGTGGGCGCAAATTCGAGCCTGTGAAGGGACAGTGCGTCCCTCGCAGTATCATTAGCTCACGCGCGACTGGTGGTGGTTGTGCGGCAGCGGGGCGTCTGTGCTGCGTACCGGCTTAATGCTGATGCCATTTTTATCTACCCTGCTCGGTGCAGTAGCTAGGGCGTCGTTGATTATCCTCTGCTACGGCTAGAGCGTCATTAAATCGTTAGAAATTCATTGTGTTGCGTGAGTAGGATATCATCAGGTTGCCCAGGAGAACGATTAGGGTTCTCATCCAGAGCGTTTAGTTCAAGAACCTGACCGCAAGACAGCGGGGTTTGGACACTGGGCTACAGAAAGTCCGTTTTAAGGAATGAGCCACCCTCACTTGAGGGCTAGGAAACTACGTTTGTCTGGCACCTAACCATTGAGTGATCTTGTATGGGTTGCTATGAACGTGCAAAAAGCACCACCCAGCATGACTCAATTTATCATTGGGGCATACAAACCATCGTACCACGTTAAGGTCTAGTCTCATCGCCCGCCAGAATCCTGAAGCATTACGTCACGTATCCAAAGAGAACAGGATCAGCTTCTGTATTTTGCATCGTTTGACAAACTAGTTTTGTTTTCATTACGTTTAGCAAGCTGAATGGCCTACACGTAAAGTACTTTCTTTCGTTCTGCGTTGTTATCCCAGAGGGCATCACGCGAGAACCTCTGAAACATTAGCCCTAATGTCACCATTTCTAGGCTATCCCTGATCATGGTACTTCGCCTGCTCACTTGTCCCTGCGTTATTCTGATCAGGTGGGAAACTTACTGACCGCGTCAATAAAAATACATTGGTTAATTGCCGGAACAGCATTGCCCCTTGAAGCTCCTTGCCATAGCCGTTTATCTCGACCGGCAGATCACCTTTGGTTCGGTGGCTTACGCTTACCTTTGACTCTGCTCATCTTCGAGGCGCTTACAGAAGTCTCTTAATTCTAGTGTATGTTCACCGCCATTGTTTGAGAATCTACTGGAAGCTGTTCCCTGAACTATATGGACTACGCGGATAGTATGGCTCTCCTTGTACCGAACACAGCCCATATACAGGTGCTTCTGAATGGATGTACGCAGCACTCCCCATCACTAAACAGCTACTCCCGTTCGGAATGCGGCAACCATAGAGAAATCAGTCTGATCTCCATCGCCTCCGAATTTCCTCCGAATTCATGGGCGCTCCTGTAAGCCAGATTCGTGAGGTTCAAGCAGGGTTTCGTCGAAGTCGATGCTGCATCGACCACATGTTCGCTTTGCGTCAATTGTTGGAGCAACGTCACATATATCGGCGGCCCACCCTTGTGTTGTTCTTCGATATCAAAGCTGCCATTGATTCAGCAAATCGATGTGCCCTTTGGGACTGCCTACTCAGGAAAGTGTGCCTGAAGAATATGTAAATATTATCCGAGCTCTTTACGCGCGTGGCTCGGACATAGTGATGGTTTATGGCACACTTTCGCCACCATACAATATCTCCAATGGTGTAAGACAGCGATGCCCGTTGTCACCTTTCCTCTTCAATTTCGGTATTGACGAAGTCATGGTGATCGCATTCACAGGACACGACTTAGGTGTGGAGCTGCTCCCAGGCGAACGGCTTTTTGACTTGGAGTATGCTGACAATATTGCCCTCATCTGTCAGCCCCCAAACGTGCCAAGCTGCGCTGGACCGATTAGCGCTGGCTTTTTGCATTTTCTGACTTTGCTTTGCAATTTTGAAGTGCAAAGCTTTTCTCCAAGATTGGCAGGGACTGCCTGCACTAACCTTTGAGAGGAAACAGCTAGAAGTAGTTCAAAACTTCAACTGGCTGAGTAATTATATCAGCTCCTGTTGAATAGAACCGTATAACAAAAACTCGAAGCGCTTTTGATAACCTTCGCCACCTATAATGCTGGCGCGATATCACTCTTCCCCTGAAAGGCAACGTTTACAATGCAGTCATATGTTCAACCCTACTGTACGATTGTGAAACCTGGCCCATTAGATCGGCAGACATAAAGAGGCTTGTTACGTTCGACCACCGGTGCCTTCTCATTTTGGCCCATATCTGGTGGGAACACCGTGTGAGCAATGGGCGTGTTCGACGCTTTGTCTTTGGCACAAGAAGAAGAAGTGAACCGCCCGGCACCGTTATTTCACGCACCAGGCTTCGATGGCTAGGCCACCTGTTGCGCATGCCAGCACACCGACTCCCGCAACACGCGTTGTTTTTGCGCCTGGGTGTGGATGAAAGAAAAAGTGAGGTGGCCAAACGATGGATTTGTCAAGAGGAATGAAGGCCCTTAGTTCGAAACTGGCCTTGGTTGGAGCCTAGTAGCTCCTTGGTTGAGGTCCGATAAACGGTGAACATTTTTAGCTGGATACACTTCTTGACTAGGAGCCGACCTTCATGGCGTCTGTGTTGTGAGTTTCTTTGTCGCTTCTCATCCCACTTAGTCTTCCCCTCCATCCACGAACTCATTTCCTAGCATAGTAGCATAGTATAGATTTTGCTGACATTTTTCTGGTAGCACAATATGAGCTGGTAGCTTTCCGACACCATGCCCACCCGTTAGTGTTGACTCAGCTGGCGTGCCTCAGTTGCATATTTTTTCTTATTTTTTGTATTGCGACACAATAGCTGTTTTCCACCTCTAGTTAACGTGTATGCTTATGATGCTAGAGATGGCTTTCGGTTCACTTAGCTTGCTACTTGTAGCACTAGTGGTCACGTCGCTAAGGAGTTTACCTCAGATATCAGCAAAGCCTCGTAATTTTAATGTTAATGATCGGTGGAACCGGTTTGATCAGCGTATCCGTCGAAGGTGGTAGACTTATTTTAGGACTAATGTTGCTCTAGGGATCATACATATGAACGCTTCGCACTGAAGGCATTAGGAGATTGGTTGTTTTACCGGTTGTTGTTAACATTTGACAGATGCACCTGGTAAGAACTTCTAAAGCTCATCAGTCGGTGTTTGAAAAGAAGACCTCTGGCGCCGCTCCGGAGTATCTGTTGAAACTGAACCGCGTAGGTTGCCGATGTCATCCCGTGTGTCTATTGAACGTCTTCATCGGCATGTTCTATCTGCTATTGCGAGATGGCTAGCCTATGGTGACCTAATGGTATGAAGAGATGGACTGAGCGAATTTGTCAGGCTGATAGGTACCGTTTTTATAACTAGGAGCCGCTGGATGGGCCGCAGTCATTAGAGGCCATATCAGGCCGGTTGCAGTCACGGATAACTAGAGCTCCTGCATTCATCTTGCATATAGCAGGTAACATTTGAATCTGACGAATTTAACCTGCCTCTTTCTAATACCTTTCTCTTTGTATTTCGCTTGCGTCTTACCTCATTTTCCTGGAGAGGGACGCTCGCATCCTAATTGTTTAACTGAAGTGAATTGTCTTCTGACTCCCTTATAGCATGCGGAATGCGTTATTACCGCAACTTCGCTCCTTTACCCTTTGTTTTAGCTACGGAACTAGTGAGAGGTCGCGTCCCATCTCTCTATTTCTTCCAGATGCGCGACTAAACTAGAGCGTATGACCATACTGTTTTCTTAGAATCAAATCAGACTCCAAGTCATTCATTTAATGAATGATTGATGGTTGAAACCGTTCTAAACAGTGTGCAATTCCTGCTTCAAAACGCAAAGTATGACTAGAGCTCGAAGTCAATAAGCCGCTTCTTTCGCGATTCCTCTAATTGATTAATGGGCTCATTCATCTAGATTGTTGCGTTACCTCACGTAAAAGCAACAGGGTAAGGTCCACACTGATCACCAGAGCATTTGCATTTTCCTTAGCTTCTGTTGCTTACGGAGATGGCGGTGTATCCGTTTCTTATTATGTTGACACGAACTCCTGTCACGTATGCCCATCCACTGTTTAGCCAAAAGGATCTTGCTTTATTTACTTGGAGCGTAAACTTTAGGGAGAACCGTTCACTTGACCTCGATGATCGAAGCGAGTCATCAATACATTATCTGTTGCGGATCCGTGATTTCTTTTAGACTGTAGTGTTCATTACTTGTCTGGTTTGAGGATCCACAAGGTACAATACTTGCTTGGCACCGGGGACACATTTGATATCGTCCCCTGGTATCGTGGTGATTCGCCCGTGGAATGCGGTTCACTACCATGCAAGTTACGGAAACTAGCAAGTGTGCAACCTTATCTCCCTACGATAACCAGTTATTCGTACTCATGCGATGTTCGCAGAGAATGCATCATCGACCGCGAATGTTCTTTGTGTATGTATCGACCCCACATTTTCCCTTGTTTTCCTACTGCCTCATAACCAGTGACAACTCCATTTGTTTAGTTCCACATGACATTCGAGCACCAGTATCAAGCATTCATATGCTTCAATTATTTTATCACATGACGAGTGTCTTCAGCATCGTTGACCCGACATCGATCTCGTTTGCTTGACGAATAGCGGTCACACTCAACTAACTCGAAACATTAATCGCTCGCGTTGCTCGCTTCGGCTTTTATTCGCTCACCGAGCTTTGTAGTTGGTTTGCAAACTCTCACTCTAGGGCATCAGCAGCAACGTTCACTCGAGTTAGTACTATCTAGTAGTACAGAGTATTCTTGTGGCTTATAAGACTAGTCGTTTGTTTCCTCTTTATAGATAGCAACAACACCTGTTAACGTTTATCTGCCAGTAATCTCCCTCTGCAAGAGCATTTCATTCTTTTTTTGAGAGTATTCTTCCTAAGGCTACCGCGTGAAAATAGCCACTTCAGACGTGTTGTTTAACTTCGTGCTTCTGCTTACACTTTAATGCTTTACTTATTTTTGCCATACAGGTAGAAGCTTATGCAATGGATCGAGTATCTTATCGTTCAGTACAGCCACCAATAGGTCCGTATCAGATGATCGGGAAAATATCCAACCTACGAATCATCCTACACTTGTTTCCACACGGTTGCGAAGTGTAGTGATTGACGGGAGCAACGTGGCCTTTGCGTGAGTCGAATGGTTTCTGCCAATCTCATATTTCTCGTATTTTTACCTGCTTACAAACATTTTTGTGGAGTAACTAAGCTGCGGACACTTAACAAATGCTTAGGTGATTCGGCGGCTGAAACTCAGCAAATAAACCCACTTGCTATGGTGCGATCGGTGTTCATTTTTTTCTTATTGAAATGCAGGCGAATCAACCTTCCTTTGAGAGTCATCTCTTCGTCAACAGCATTGCTCCTTGTTTGTCCTTGTATTCAAGCTAGTCATTGCACACACCTCGCTTACATTTAGACGCTTAGCGCTTTTAAAAATTCAGCTATTTCATATGTACTGAATAGCAACACTGTTATTGATCTCTACTGGTAGCCGGAAACTTGTTCTTGCTTTTCACTCGTCATCCATTAGTCTGTTTCGTTTTCAAAGACTTACCGCATTCGGATACATGTATTATGCTCCGACCATCGCATCGAGTGTGATGGATAGTGGTAAGGGCGCTGCTGCTCAAGCTTTCTCGTTTATTGCGCTTTCTCATTCTCTTATCGCCCCCTTCTGACCTCACATTTAATCTCCTCTTTTTGAGACTCTCGATTTTCGGCCCTACCTCATCTTGCTTCATTGGCTGTTTGTCTTCCAATTTCGACTCGCAATCACAGAACGTCACTCCGGTCCACTGGACAAGTTCATGTTCCAACCAGGCGAACAACCTCAGTTCATACGCTTCTACTTGCAGCTTTCGGTTGTGGTTAAGACTGGCATACTTCAACATGTACACTTTGTTACGGATCGGTCAACATGTATCGCTTGCCTGAACATTAGAGACTCCGTCGATCGATATCCGCTGCTTCTCGGAAACCCACCTGTAACACTCGAGCACTGCTCTCCCTACAATTCCCTTCAAGGGACACTGGCAGCATATTCTCATCTCACGTATTCCGAGGTGACGCAGCTCCAAGTATCCGTCAAAGTGACGTGTACAGTGTTCTGTGCTCCCGGGCGGTAGCTGGTTTGATCAGCTATATCCCAATCAGTAGCCAGATGTGCGCCATCCGATTGGCCGGCTCGTTCAAAGCTTTGCGGTCGCGTGGGAGCGAGAGGTGCCTATTTGTCATCGCCTATTCCTCCCCCAAAAAATTAGCGCTGATTCTTTGTACTATAGCTACCGTCAACTGAACGAGTTCCTTCCGTTGTCTTGTAAGCTGACGCCACGGATTCGGACCTGCGTAGGGGCAGGGCGACCCTCGCAGTATCCTAGCCCATTTGCGACTGATAGTGGTTGTGCGGCAGCGAAGCGTCGATACTGCGTACCGGCGTACTGCTGATGTCACAACTGAAGTACGGATGCCGCAGTGTCTTATGGTTATCCGAACTTTCAAGTTGGAAATTGTCCACTGATGAGCTTCATCTGGACAGCAAAATTGGTAGATATTCCTGCAATGATAACCACTAGCGGTTGTTACATTTGTTAAGGCAGAGAGAAGACAGAGGTTGCGATATGTCAACATTTCGATTGTTCTCCTCGGTCGCAAACACAATACGATCAGAAACATACAAGGGATTATATACATGGGAAAAAAGGCACCACCAATAAAAATGTCACATGAGAAATTTAAAACAATTAGTCCCCTTCAGTAGTTTGAACAACGAAATGAGAAGACGAATATTGGCAGATGCTAGCATTTCGTATTATCTCATCAGTACCAATACAATAACAGGGAAATCCTTTTATATGTCTTACAGGGCACAGTCAAGCCAATCAAATTTATGGTTGTGGTCATTGTTGTTGGGATTAGGTCCACGGCAACCGCAGGTTGACAACTAATTGCTTTTGGACGCACAAAGCTGGTCTAATTCGGCTTATCGCGACGGCCTCGGCAAATCGTAAAAGGCGTGCATTGGTATGACGTAACAAGATCCGGAACGCTGATAAGGGATTAACCCGGTGACGAGTCGCCAAGATGTGCCTGCCTATGGAGGACGCTGGCGGCTTACGTGAGCACGTATCATCGGAGGTGGATTGAGTAACTTCGCGCTGAACCCAGTTTGGTAAGTGTTCCTTCACCCTGGGATCTAAAACCCGTTCGATCCTGCCGATGTAACTGATACCGCAGTCACACACGAATTGGTAGACACAATGTGATTTGGCGCCGACGGGTTCATCTTCCTTTACTGAAGGTAACGGCATCTTTCGGGTTCGTTTGATTATCACCGCCTCCGCAGCACAGTATGTACGCTGAATGGCCGAGACAATGCGTTTGGTTATCCTTCTCGCCGCGGTGTCACCCTTGAATGGTAGCTCAATGTACACCTTCTTCTTAGGGGCTGTCAACACCATCTCCTTGGGCGGTCTAATTTGGCTATGTTTGTCTATGAATCGCTTTGGGTAGCCATTCTCCATAAGTGTTTTAGTGATCAGCTCAAATTCCTCAGACAGGCAGTCGTTGGAGCAGATACGTCTGGCCCGAGTGAATAATGTTTTTACTAGCGCGCGCTTGTGTGCCATCGGTGAGAAGCTAGTGAAGTGTAGGTATTGGCCGGACCACGTTGGTTTCCGGTATACAGATCGCTTAATCAGTCCATTATCCATGCGACTCATGAGAATGTCTAGATACGGGAGACGGCTATTCGATTCGAACTCATAGGTCACCTTCAGGTTGGCGTGAACATTATTAAGTTGGTCTACTAGTTGTTCGATTTGCATCTTCGTGGAACAAAAAACAAGGATATCATCTACATATCGTTTATAATACGGCAGCTGAGAAATCTGTCCACTTAGTTTCCAAACTAACTGGGTTCAGCGCGAAGTTACTCAATCCACCTCCGATGATACGTGCTCACGTAAGCCGCCAGCGTCCTCCATAGGCAGGCACATCTTGGCGACTCGTCACCGGGTTAATCCCTTATCAGCGTCCCGGATCTTGTTACGTCATACCAATGCACGCCTTTTACGATTTGCCGAGGCCGTCGCGATAAGCCGAATTAGACCAGCTTTGTGCGTCCAAAAGTAATTAGTTGTCAACCTGCGGTTGCCGTGGACCTAATCCCATCAACAATGACCACAACCATAAATTTGATTGGCTTGACTGTGCCCTGTAAGACATATAAAAGGATTTCCCTGTTATTGTATTGGTACTGATGAGATAATACGAAATGCTAGCATCTGCCAATATTCGTCTTCTCATTTCGTTGTTCAAAAATGTCACAGTCAAGACCATGGCAACCGAATGGATTGCCTCAGGAGTTTCTGTGCACATAGCACAGGTTGATAAGCCTTAATTAACAACGCCTCACTAATTGCTAGCATTATCGGGTTTTTGTTACGTAATAACACTTTGAACGTTGTCTCGGGGTTTACGTGATGACGGGTTGTCATGAGGTGCTTTGTGATAGACTATGCCAAAGTGGTTGGGACAAGTGATTACGCAACAACATGGGACGAATCTGAGGATCAATCGGAGCCCGGCATCGTCTATCACCAAGCACCTCATGACAACCCGTCATCACGTAAACCCCGAGACAGCGTTCAAAGTGTTATTACGTAACAAAAACCTGATAATGCTAGCAATTAGTGAGGCGTTGTTAATTAAGGCTTATCAACCTGTGCTATGTGCATAGAAATTCTTGAGTCAATCCATTCGGTTGCCATGGTCTTGACTGTGACATTTTTATTGGTGGTGCCTTTTTTCCCATGTATATAATCCCTTGTATGTTTCTGATCGTATTGTGTTTGCGACTGAGGAGAACAGTCGAAATGTTGACGTATCGCAACCTCTGTCTTCTCTCTCTGCCTTAACGAAATGGCTGAAGGGGACCCACTGTTACATTTGTGTGAAGATGCGAGCATCAACTTTTGATACGGAAACTGGCAGAGGGTAACAAGGATCATGTCAACGACATCATGACCAGTCATCGTCGGAGAGGCTGCGTTTAAAGACATCTCTTGATTTGGAGCACAAACTTAGGCTCCGACTCTGCATTTATGTGTTGATTTGAAGGCGCATTTCTGTAGACCTCCGCGACGACACCGTTAGCAAATAGGTACTCACCAGGTGGTGAAGTCATCTCGAAGTGGCTATACCTTAATATGTTGCTGTGGTTTGCTTACCTCCGTGACCCATTGGGCTACACTGAGTGGCATTTTCCATGTGTCTTCAAAATTAATCATACCAGACAGGTTAATGTTTAGCGGTCAGACTAGCTCAGTCTCAATCCTTTCCGGATGTCAGGAAGAGGTCGCTGGCTTTTTACTTTTAAAACCTAGCCGTAGGAGACAACTGGTAACAGGTCATAAGCTTTTCTCAACTGCCGAACAACATAAATGTTTCGCATTGCCTTGACGGTGGAAGAGCACCGTCCAGGGCTCAGTTCTTAGCTACCACACGGCTAAAACCAGGCATCCCCTGTTCAAATGGGCACGAACCTGTCAATTCAGTCCTGCGGCTTGCCGTGGTCACAGGTGCATAGCATACTAAGGTCGAGAAATATCTGAGTCTCTAAATTTTCAAAGGCTCCGTGTGACAGATCTCAAACAGATTCCAATGGGTCTCTGCAATCACACCCTGGAGCTGGACTTGCTCCACACTGCCTTATGGGTCAGGCTATTAAGGCAAAAGACCTAGGCAAGGCACCTCGAACAAAACCCCTCTCTCGAAACGGGCAGCCTACGAGTATAATCTGCCTTCTTGACCCTATCGACAATACTTCTCCTTTTTATCGTTCTCTCCTTCACCTCCCTTATCCTATATTGAGCACGAGACTGTCCCTGACCTCGCATCTGCTGCCATCGATACATGTAGCTCTATCAAACATATGGCCTCATTTCACATTGGTTCGTCCAGCGTCCACACTCTGGGTCAAATTGGCCAACAGGCAGCTTTATCTCGCTTCAAACTTTTGGTATTTATGTGTTGTCTCCGAGACACGCAGACAAGAGTACAGCATTGTGACGAATCTTCGACTCCCTGGTTCTGAGTCTGACGATAGCTGCACTGTTCGCATCTCTGGAG